ACACACACACACACACACACACACACACACACACACACACACACACACACACACACTTGTTCTTGAACCATGTGGGGACCTTCCATTGACTTTCGTTCATTTGTTTTAGACTTTATATACTAACCCTGACCATTTACCCTAAAATTAACCTCACAGGTACCTACCTGACCCTAAAACTAACCTAAACCTTGATCCTAAACCTAACCCCACACCCGTAATTTACATTTGGACCTGTGGGGACCTGGCATTGGTCCCCACGATTCAGTTCGGTCCCCACGAAGCTGCTTTTTTTGGTAAAAAATTCCCTACGTTGTAGGAAAAATCCATCYACACATGCACGCACGCACGCACACACGCACACACACACATGTTTGCACAGCTATCCATTTGGGGACATTCCATTGACTTCCATTACATTTCTACAGCCTAACCCTGACAACAAACCCTAAGGCTAACCTCACAGGTACCTACCTGACCCTAAGGCTAACCTCACAGGTACCTACCTGACCCTAAGGCTAACCTCACAGGTACCTACCTGACCCTAAAACTAACCTAAACTTAATTCACACCTTGGTACTAAGCCCAACCCCCAACCCACCAATGGCATTTAAACCAAATGGTGGGTTGGGGTTGGGTTGGTCCTAAACCCAACCCCCAACCCACCAATGGCATTTAAACCAAATGGGGACTCGACTTTTGTCCCCAAATGCACAAGCTGTCCCCAAAGTTAAGCATTTTGTCTTAAAATTGCCCCCAAATGTCACCAACCGCCCCCCCCACACACACACACACACAATCACAAAAACATACATCTTCATCCGATGTTTTTACTTACTTTTTATTTTTATTATTATTTTTCAATTTACAGTAAGTTTGTAGGCTCTGATTATTTATGTAAAGACCTTGAATATCAATCTTTGGATTTTCAAAAATTTATAAAGCACACAAATATTATTTTTTCACATGTCCCTTCTAATTAAATTTGTCCTCTGAGGTTTAATGTCAGTTGGTAAAAGTGTTGTTTTAGGACAATATCAGCTTTGATGTACCAGTTAATAACTCTTATTCACAATTTAGCTGTCGTGTTTATAAAGAGTTTCCTCAGTACTGACTGTTTCACTGCTGAAACATGGTTCAGCTCAACACTGTTACTCTAAAAACAAGAACATTCATGTTCGAAAAACTTCTGATTAGATTTCTTTTTGGCTTTTACATCAAAGATTTAATCCTGTCATCTGATGACACGTGATGTTTACAGTCAGTGTCATTCTAAAACTTACCAAAGGTAAGTCGCCCTGTGTCACGTGTCATAAATGTTTATCTCTACGTGTATTTGATAGTTTTATGTTCTGTGTAAACAGATGACAGTACATCTTCGTGCGTACAAACATGCCTGTCTTTGTGCGTGTCTTCATCAGCATCTCCAGATGACCATCCAGGCCCTGCAGGATGAACTGCGCACGCAGCGGGACCTCAACCACCTGCTTCAGCAGGAGAGCGGCAACCGCTCCGGCTCGGAACATTTCACCACCATCGAGCTGACGGAAGAGAACTTCCGCCGGCTGCAGGCTGAACACGACAGGCAGGCCAAGGAGCTCTTCCTGCTCAGAAAAACCCTGGAGGAGATGGAGCTGAGGATCGAGACCCAGAAGCAAACACTTGGAGCACGGGACGAGTCCATCAAGAAGCTGCTGGAGATGCTGCAGAGCAAGGGGCTGCCTCCGGGGCCGGGCAGGGCCTCCGAGGAGGAGGAACAGGAGCGAGCACGGAGGATTGCTGAAGCAGAGGCTCAGCTTGGACACCTGGAAGTTATTCTGGACCAGAAGGAGAAGGAAAACATTCACCTGCGAGAGGTACACAAACACCGGCCTCATGACAAAATAAAAAAGATCATGCTTTATCATTTCTATAAATTTTTACTTACAGATTGAACAACAACAAAACAAACACAAAGTAGACGAACACTCAGCTGAAAGTAGCTGAAAGGGTGAAATTGTTTGTAAATTCTGTCACTAATATGGCACTCAAGTCAAGTCAAGTCAACTTTATTTATATAGTACATTTAAAAACAACTGCCTTTGGCCAAAGTGCTTCACATATTTCAAACTAAAAACAAAGCATTGCTAAAAGAACACAAATGATAAAACCATAAAAACAGACCAAATAAATAGGGAAACAACTCTCAAACTACATTAAAAGCTTTTGAAAACAGGTGTGTTTTAAGAAGAGATGTAAAAACTCTAAGAGTTGAGGCCTGTCTGATGTGAAGAGACAGCTGGTTCCACAGTTTAGGAGCCACAACTGAAAAGGCTCAGTCACCTCTGTGGACCAGTCTGGACCGCGGGACAGCCAAGTGCAAATGATCACTGGATCTAAGAGATCTGGAGGGCACATACTGCAGGAGGTCAGACAGGTATTCAGGAGCCAGTCCATTCAGAGCCTTATAGGTCATCAGTAAAAGTTTAAAATCAATTCTAAAACACACAGGGAGCCAATGAAGGGAAGCCAGCACCGGGGAGATATGATCACGCTTCTTGGTCCGTGTTAAAAGGCGTGCTGCAGCGTTCTGAACCAGCTGCAGGTGTGAGAGGCCAGCCTGGATAACTCCAGCGTACAGAGAGCTGCAGTGGTCCAGCTGAGATGTAGTAAAAGCGTGGATCACACATTCAAGGTCTTTGAAAGATAAAATCGATTTGATTTTAGATAAAAGCCTCAGTTTAAAAAAATGATCTTTTTACTACAGAATTAAGCTGTTTCTCAAAGTTGAAGTTTGAGTCAAAGAACACACCCAAGTTTKTGACGTGCACTAACATAATACAAGGACCATCTCAGATTAAAATAATGAYGTCTGATATTTACAAGGTTCACTTTCAAAGGGTTGAAACTGTATGTGCGAGATAAGCATATTCTAACATTACTTATATGTTTTTAAAAAAGCTGATTAGGGTTGGGCATAATCATATTGTGTGCAATTAATCGTCAAAAAAAAATAATCGATAATTTTTTAGCACTTGATTAATACGATTAATGCCACCAGGCAGAGTCTGCTTGGTGCTCCTCTCCGCTTCCAATATGATGAACATTTAAAAAAAAAGTTCTGTAACTTATTTATCTATCAACACAATTTAAAATTTGATGTATAGCCTGAAGTCTGTAATTTTGACACAATTTGGAACAGATTTTTACGAAGAGCAAATCTTTCCCACTAAATTGGTCATGTGACTAGGACGTAAGGGTGTCCATGGACTCCAAGGGATTAATCGTCAAATTAATTATCAGCTAAATACCACAATTTATCGAGATTTTTTTCCAACATTGCCCAACCCTAATGATTATTGTAATTTATTTATTTAGTTAGATTTAGAGGGATATCAATACAGTATGGTGAAACATGCTCTTTAATAAACCATGTGTGTTTTATTTTATTGCCACCAGATGGCACTGTTGAGTTTTACAACGTTAATGTGCTGCTGTTCCCAGCTCACTGATTATGTAATGAAGCTGCAGACTACATTTGATGTATTTAATGCATGTGTATAGGCAAAGCTGTACATAATGTCATATTATTTTAAACCAAGCTGTTCTGATATAAGTAGTGGCTCTAATATTGTTTTGTTTYCTCTTTAAGGAGCTGCACAGAAGGAATCAGCTCCATCAGGACCCAAGTAAAACCAAGGCACTGCAGACCATTATAGAGATGAAAGTAAGAATTCGACTTATCTGCAATCAGAATAAAACCACACACAACAGCTCCACAGGGCATCATTTAAATAGATGTGGGTTTTTTACTCATCTAGAAGCAGATGGCGTGTTAGTGCACTTTTGTGCCTAACATTCGCTGCACGCTTTGTGTTGTTTTGCCTCTGCATGTGTGTTCTGCTGATTCTATCGTTGTCACTGTGATTTGCTGAAGATGAGTCGATTGTCAACACACCGTCACATTTTTCTTTCCCTCTTTCACGCAGGCTCAGTATCAGCTCATAAAGCTGTTGTGTAAGCTTGAATAAGAATCAGTATTTAACATTTTATCCTCTTGCTGAGGAGGATGAGTCACGCTGTAAGACAAAGGTTTAATGACAAGTATTGTCATATTTGTCTCTGTCATTAGCTTGTCAACTTAACGTCTGTAAACATCAAAGATTTTAACTTTATAATTTAGATTTCATAATGGTTGTTGTTGAGACGAGTGGGGATATGTTTCAGGTTTATATTCAGGTTCATGAATTATTAACAGATAATAGGCTTCTGTGTTATTTAAGTAGGAATTTGAATTAATCACTGTTAAGTCAAAAAATCTAAGTTGTTATTCTTTCGGCTGCTCCCTTCAGGGGTCACCACAGTAAGCAAATTCATATAAAGATTTGTTTTACTCTTGATGTCCTTCCTAACCCAACCTGGGTTCAAACCTGCAACCTTTAACAAGACCACCAAGCTACTGAAACCCCCTCCAAAAAGTCTTGTTTTACAGACATCCTTTCACAATAAACGTTCATGTTCTAATAATTATCTCCTAAAATCTTTACAAAACATCATCAAGCAGTTGCAGTGAATTAGATCATAAATAGTAAAAGTGAATCATTTAATAGAATAGAATAGAATAGAATAGAATAGAATAGAATAGAATAGAATAGAATAGATTAGAAATAGCCTTTAGTGTCCTGCAGAGGGGAAATTCAGGTTCTAGTTAATTATAAAGATTATATTTTTGTTTTGTCTTATTTTGTTTTCATCATCAACTAAATTCATTGAACATTTGTTGGGAAGACTGAAATGAATACAGTGACAAAATTCTTTACCACAACCATGCTTCAGAGTCAAATTTTCTGATATTTCAGTCACAACATTTTTGTATTCAAGCACGAACAGTTGCTGTAATTTTACAGAGAAATCTAATTTAAAATTGTTTGGTTTTATAATGTGTTTTAGAATAATGTTTTGTGAAGCTTTGAAACTGGAGGAAAAATTGAAAGATAATTTAAAATACAAAAAGCTTAAACATACACAGCACATTACATAATATTCAAAAAGATTTACCTTTTTTGCCATTTCAGGGACTATTTTTCAGCTTTCAGCAATTTTTATACAAATCAATGTACATCTGTCTAACGCAGATACAAAATTGATGTRCAAACGTGCATTTGGCTTTAAAATATATTTAAAAAATGTCTCTAAATGAGTGCTTTCTGTACAGGAAAGAGGCATTAGAAAATTCCAGCTTCTGAATCGCTGTAGACACCAGCCTCACTGCAGAGACCTGACATCACTTCCTCAAAATAAATCATGACATCATGGCTGAGCTGACACAGCCCCTCTCGCTCGGCGGGATAGGCAGAAAAAAAAAGAAAAGAAACATCCTCCCCACCCCCTGCATGGTCACGTGACATCAGGGCGCTCAGACCCTGTTGATTTTCATACGGGGGCGAGGGAAGTCCCGCCTCCTCCTCCTCCTACTCCTCCTCCTCATCCTGTACTAAGGAGGAAGACCCTGCATCCCTCCTCTCTCCTGCTCTGTGTCGATGCTGATGATAGCATGAAAAATCCCCCCCCCCCCACCTCCCTCCTCACTCACCAGAGACAGTACATAGCCTGCTTGCTGCTGCCATGGAAACAGGTGTGGTTGTTTATGACAGCGAGAGGCCAGTTTGCGGGCAAGATAGACAGACAGGGAGATGTACAGATGCAGGGAAAGAGACAGATTTACTGACCAGGTCCAAGTGGCAGTGATTTACATGTGGACGGAATAAAGTCACTCAGCTTTTAAGGTACGCCGTCTCGAGTTTATTGCAGACATGTCAGCTCGTTGATGCTCTACTCGTAACAGAGGCTGAGGTGAGGTGCAGCAGCAGGGCGAAGTGCATGTTCACGAGCGATGCTCATGCATTAACGTTAAGCTCTCAAATCCCTCATTCCTTATCACACTGATGTTTCCCTGCAGTGGGCTACGACTGACCCCCGCTAATGGCCACAAGTTCACGAGTTCAGAGCCACAGAGAGAAAAGAAGGAGGGTATTAAAAGAGAGAGAGAGAGAGAGAGAGAGAGAGAGAGAGAGAGAGAGAGAGAGAG